CATACTAAAGCTTCTATTAGAGTGATAGTACACTAGTTTAATAAGGAGAATGAGTCTAGCGTACCCCATACTAAAGCATCTCTCAGATTGATAGTACACTGGTTTAAAAAGGAGAATAAGTCTAGTTTCGCCCATACTAAAGCATCTATTAAATTGATAGTACACTGGCTTAACAACGAGAATGAGTCTAGCGTCGCCCATACTAAAGCATCTAATATATTGATAGCACATTGGTTTAAAAAGGAGAATAAGTCTAGTTTTGCCCATACTAAAGCATCTATTAGAGTGATAGTACATTGGTTTAACAAGGAGAATGAGTCTAGCTTTGCCCATACTAAAGCTTCTATCAGATTGATAGTACACTGGTTTAAGGAGAATGAGTCTTTCTTCACCCATACTAAAGTATCTATTAGATTGATAGTACACTGGCTTAAAAACGAGAATAAATCTAGCGTAGCCCATACTAAAGCATCTATTAAAGTCATAGTACACTGGGTTAAGGAGAATGAGTCAAGCTTAGGCCATATTAAGACATCTACTATATTGATAGTAGATTGGTGTAACAAAAAGTATGAGTCTATTCTCGCCCATACTAAAGCATCTATCAGAGTGATAGTACACTGACTTAACAAGGAGAATGAGTCTATCTTAACCCATACTAAAGTATATACCAGATTGATAGTACATTGGTTTAACAAGGAGAATGAGTCTAGTTTCGCCTATATTATAGCATCTATTAGATTGATAGCACATTGGTTCCAAAGGAGAATAAGTCTAGTTTTGCCCATACTAAAGCATCTATTAGATTGATAGTAGCTAGACTCATTCTCCTTGTTAAACCAGTGTAGTATCAATCTAATAGATGCTTTAGTATGAGCGAAACTAGACTCATTCTCCTTGTTAACCAATGTACTATCAATCTAGTAGATACTTTAATATGAGTGAAGATAGACTCATTCTCCTTGTTAAACCAATGTACTATCACTCTAATAGATGCTTTAGTATGGGCGAAGATAGACTCATTCTCCTTGTTAAGTCAGTGTACTATCATTCTGATAGGTGCTTTGGTATATGCTAAGCTTGACTCATTCTCCTTAAACCAGTGTACTATCAATCTAATAGATGCTATAGTATGGGCGAAACTAGACTTATTCTCCTTGTTAAACCAGTTTTATTCTACTTGCTAAACCAGTGTACTATCAAGCTGATAGATGCTTTAGTATGAGCGAAACTAGACTTATTCTCGTTTTTAAGCCAGTGTACTATCAATCTAATAGATACTTTAGTATGGGTGAAGATAGACTCATTCTCCTTAAACCTGTGTACTATCAATCTAATAGAAGCTTTAGTATGGGCAAAGCTAGACTCATTCTCCTTGTCAAACCAATGTACTATCACTCTAATAGATGCTTTAGTATGGGCAAAACCAGACTTATTCTCCTTTTTAAACCAATGTGCTATCAATCTAATAGATGCTTTAGTGTGGGCGAAACTAGACTTATTCTCCTTTTTAAACCAAATTGCTATCAATCTAGTAGATGCTATAGTATGGGCGAAGCTAGACTTATTCTCCTTTTTAGACCAATGTGCTATCATTATAATAGATGCTTTAGTATGGGCAAATCTAGTTTCGCCCATACTATATCATCTTTTAGTTTGATAGTACACTGGTTTAAGAAGGAGAATGAGTGTAGCTTCGCCCTTACTAAAGCTTCTACTAAATTGATAGTACACTGGTTTAACAAGGAGAATGAGTCGAGCCTCGTTCATACTAAAAACACGTTGGAGTGAATATTACAGATGATTTTGAGAAGTTGTATCCATTAAGAGTACTTCATATCAGAGAGTTAGATTTTATTAAAATCCATGTAACACACTTGTAAGCTATGTGTATGAAGTTCTTACGACGTTCGGCCTGAATGGCATTATATTACGGGTTTTTAACAACTAGGTATAGAAACTATGGAAAAGAATGACAAGAAGGTGAAATCACGATAGTATTTATAAATTAGTTGTACAAGTTTTTTTTCTTTTCTGAATAGTGTAAATAATTACGTTATTTGTGCTGCGTATACTTGTATACTTTCTCAGATAATTATCATGCCTTGAATTTGTACGTATGATTGGGATCGTTTATGCTTTTACGATGATTAGCAATCAATAATAGTTTCGCACGTTATCGAATGGATGAGAAATGAAGCAAATATCGACCTTCAAAGCTTTCCATGTTCAGTGGGTATTTAGGGTTTTATTGAAGTATATACATTCCATGTTTTCCGTTGTTCCATTTTTATGTCTTGTTATTTATGGCATATTTTCTATAGGACTCACTGAAAACTATTTTTGTTTTTAACAGACACTTACATACGTATGGATGAAATATAAAATAATGTTTTATATAATCAGATGAGATTCTAGAACAATACAAAGCACATGTTACGATACAAAATAAGTCTATGTATTTGAATATTAAGCAAAAATAGGCACAATAACTGCTACGAAAGAAGTTCGACAGTAAAGTTGCACTATATATATATTTATCAACTTTTATGTTATCAAACGATCACAGACAAATCTGTAAAAAAAAAGTACTTAAAAATTCAAGCTTATTCATTCATAAACTATACTAATATGTGCAAGAAAGAACTAAATTATTTCCACACCTTAATCTCAATCTACCTTTTTCTCTCCTCCAGTAGGCTTGTATTTAATATTAGTAAAAGAATCGATTTTAGATTTCACATTCTTCAGATTAGGCTTAGGCGTTTGACCAACCGGAGCCTTAATAGGGGGCAACCCTGAAAATATTATTATTCTTACATTATAAAAGCAGTATTTAAAATAATCCATATTTTCAAAATATAATAAACTGCGTGATGATTGGTGAAACCTTTATTTCGAATTTAAAATAACCACACATTTTAAATTGATACATAAAGGTAATTAAAGTGACTGAACTATTTACAGCCTTACTGTGATGTTACAAAAATATTACAATTTGAAAAAGTACAATGATTACGATACGACTGAAAATATTGTTTATAGCGAGACGTTTTGTCCGTTTGTTTAGAACTTCTATACTCTTGTAGCACATCCACAGCCTCAAGCTGCAGACTACGATTTTGTTGCAAGAGACGCGAACCGCGAACCCTCAATAGTAAGGGTTCCCAACTGATGATTCAAAGCATTGTAACCATTATAGGTTTTTAATAATGCATTAATGTATGACATTGCAAATGTCTATCAGTTGATTATACTTTAATTTCATATTTTAGTTTCAATCTACAGTTGACTTGTTTTTGATCAGAAGTGATTAATTCAAATGTTTTTGGGTATTTGTATAGCAAATGCGTAGTAATACATACGTACCCAATTATTCCACTTATTAAAAATTTAAAACAACTAATGGGCACAAAGTTATCTAGCAGTTAATTCCACCCAAAACACCCAGTTAGGCTGCATTTATGTCTTGTGTGCTAGCTTACTTTTATCACTATTTCAATTGTTATTATTACTTAAAGCAATTCCTCTGTTTAAAGAAAGAGACGTGGTTGACATTATACCACTGTCTAAAGAGACTGCAGTAATAGTGACGTTACAAATATTATCAATACCAATCAGCTTCCAGTTAAATATTGACAGAATGTAATAAACTCAATGGCATGTTTTATAATACCGAATTAATTAAATAATTAATCTGAATTCAATATTTTTTATAGACAAACATAATTCTAGTGAGAATTTTAAACAAACTGTGATGGACATTCACAAAATGGGTTATCACGTATACTAGGAATCTCATTTTCTATAAAAATTGATGGGATGGCAAAGGGATCAAGATTGGCAACATGACTTAACAATTTGTTCCTTTACCATAATCAGAAATAATGGTTGGATAATCGTTCATTGAGCTTTAAGCCTATGGACTATCGAAGGTTCATGACACTTTTGTCTTCTTTGGTGATCTTTAACGTGTAAGTTATTTTTGACAAGATCTTAATAATGAATACAAAACATAAGGTTTAAGGTTTACTGTGGAAATAAAAAGAAACACCTTTTCTTTTTTTTTGCTACACTAGCAAATAACAACAACGGTAGTTTTGAATGCGAAGTTTATCATGAGAAAACATTTACAGGCTTATATTTTGACCTTAACAGTTCGATGACAGGTTTATTTAAAGTAAATTTGGTTAAAATACTAATCAAACATGCTTATAAAATAGCTAGAAGCGTATGAATGTATTCATAAGACATTAAACAAAGTAAAAATATTTCCTGTTAATATAATAGATGCGATTATATATAGGTCTATCTGGATAAGGCTGACGATCTTTAACAAATCAAATTCCACATTCCAAAACAAACAACATATACAATATTACGTTATACATGTAAACATATATTAAATGTAAAAAGTCAGCTATGTAAGCTCTTTTGTGGAACCTATCCACAAGTTGATCTAACAGCAAATTTAAAACTCGAGAAAATAGAATTAATAAGAATTTCATACACCTAAGGTAACATACGAATTTAAAGGAACATACAAATTTAGTGACGTAATGTGTGCTTGGTGAGTGTGATGTAGTCGTACGCCACAGAATGTTTAAAATTCTCGCTAGAGGTCGCGATGAGAAGAGCTTAGTAAAAATCAGACGTTATTCATTAATAAATTGAAACCAGAATTGAAAACGAGATGGCTTAAACAACAAAATTACTAACAATTATGTAATTCATCTGAAACTTTGGCGAGTTATTTATGACACACTCCTTCGTTTACTCATGGAGCCAACCAGTTGATCCATCATGTCTTCCTAAAATTATTACGGGGAAATACGTTAGCTAATCAGACTCATCTTTGATCCACTGCTTCTTGGCTACAGTTATTATACGGAAAAGAATTGCCCGTAACTTTCTATACATCTAAAGTTCAATCAATTACTAATTGTGGCCTTCGAGCAGGATAATAATTACACTGTATTTTCAGTTTGCTTTGTTTTTTGTCTTTTATTGTTTAATACATATAATACTTATTTATTATACGCTCAGTTATACGAACCATAGGAAAAAATACTTAATAACATCTACAGAAACTTCAGACAATGAATAAAATTATCTAAATTATTCTCACTTACGAGCCGGAACCTTATTTGGAGAAAGAATGCCGTTTTTTATAGGCATCCTCTCTGGTGAATGATTTGGTATCTTGATTGGCGACGTCGATGTCTGGAAAATTAAAATATAATTCACTTCCTAAGTTTATTTACATTACATTAATCGACTGTGATCTTTTCTGTCATTTAAATTATTCTGGAAACCTTTTACTAATATTTTTAAACACAAAACGCTTGGTGAGATAATGTTTCAAGTTGGAAAATATGAACGTCAGGCGTTAAACCTTGTCACCAACTGAAACCAGGCAATGTTTGAGCACACTACTTAGAAAGACTTTCCAAAAATTCCTTTCTTTTTCTTATTATAATCTAATTACATTCGTCATTTTGTTTTCTTAATAACATTATAAATCTTTTTTTTTTGTTACAACAAATTACAGCTTTCCTTGAATAAAAAATATAAATTATCAAATGTTCTAAGAAGCACGTTACGGACAGTATTGTGACGAACCATAAACGGCATATGATTAACGAAGTTAAGAGATTATATAAACGACTTGAAAAATGCCATAATTCACAAGGAGCGTATAATTAACAAACTACAAAAATATTACAAAACTTGAAAAACGGAAAGGAGCACGCAATTAAATATATGATCATATTCCATAAGTATAATATAAAAACAAAATTATCAACATTTAATCACAAGTGTCCAATACCATAAGGACAGAGAAATAAACAACAAATAATAATCAAAAACAATAATAAGAATAAAGTATATAAAAAATATGAAAAACTTAAAAGATAATTATAAAAAAATATCTAATTTATTAGCAATAAAATAAACAACAACAACAAAAAAACAACAACAACGACATCTAAGAAATTTACCCAAATTACAAGGAACAATTAACATATGTATCCAAATCACATGGAGAATATAATTTTAATTTCGTCGTAATAAAAGATTACTCACAAACCTTTTTATACATAAATAAATCAGAAATGTTTTTCACGCCGAGTAAATAACACAGATTAAATTCAAACGTATTCAAACAAACTGTTTTAACCACCTTTTTTTCAGAAGCTAGAAATACTTATCTTTCCTCTAACTTGTTTAAAATAGTTAGCGTTGGTTAAATGTTTCTGAAGTAACTTTAACGTGCCGAATTTAATGAAAGTTGCGGTTTTTTTTAAAGGTTTAACATATAAAGCGAACTATTAGACACGTAAATTGTAACATCGATTAAACAGGCCATGAAAATAAATAAAAACCTTGAAGATACATTTACGTTTCTATAAGCGAGTGTAATATTACTAGGTAAACTTTATATTCTGTATTTTTAACTTTAAGGTAAGAAATCAATATACATACATATATGTACGCACACATTATATCTTATCCGTTTATTTCACTGTGATAATAGTTATCAAATATATAAAAACTTCTGATACTACTGTGAATGTATAAATATTTTACATGAACTGATTACACAAGCCTGCAATGGTTTTATTGTCTTGAAATGTTTACATGTTCTACGGTAATTCCTGTACGTCAAATCCGAAAATGATATCCATGTTTCTCCATCACGTACAAATTTTTCACAAAACGTCATAAAGCAATACATAAAAGAAAGACCACAGCACGCAGTTTTGAGACGAAAAGATGTAGATTTCACAAAAAAAATCAGGAAGAATGAGGATGCATATTCGTTCGACATCAATGTTCTTCCCTTTTCTTCAATCTGTTTGTATTTTTGTT